CATTATTCTAGTCAGTGGGATGCAAAATGTGAGACTGTGGTTGGCGAATTAAAAAAATAGACAATGGGATAATTAGCAATTGAAGCTATGCCACACATATTTCGATGGTCTTTCGCCATCATAATGTAGCCCTTCATTCCCCACTTGGTACCCCAACTGTTCTTCACCAGCCAATAAGGTTCGTCTTTCAACTTGCCGTAGCCAATTGCGAGAACACCATGGTTGAGGATTTTGCTTGAGCACCAATGGCTCTTGTAAATTCCATGGCTGAAAAGTAAACAAATACAAGTCAATTCACTGAAAACTTATAAACGTAGTTTGGCCTTTACACTACTAAAACGAAATAACTTTCTAGGCAATGCTTAAGATAATCACTTTTACATATGTGATTTAGTGTCTGTCTCTTTGGCATCTGCGAATCATTCTTCTGTCCCCTCCCCCCCCCGCACTCGACTTTTTGTCACTTTGATGTTCCCCCCTACCCCTCCGTGAACCCCGAAGTCAACTAGAGGTCTAATAATTACTATCAAAATGTCTGCCATTTGAAATAACTACAATTTTCAGGAACCTTTATTCATATTTTCAATCGGCACCTGATGGTAAGAAATCATTTAGATATGAGATATTACTACATGACTTAGGTTACTAATGATTACATATCTTTGAAATTGCTTATATGGGAGGGGGTTATTCTAAGGAAGAAAAATACTTTATTCAGTCTCGAGGAGGGATCGATATTGTTTATTGTAATTTTTCCCAGTACCTTTAAAACAATCACTCCAATTTACTAGTTAATTATATGCTCTCGGCATTACGTAAAAAGACTTAATGCCGAATTCAGAGGATGTTCCGGCTATTACATTCCTTTCAGCCAGTTAGTGCGTACTCTCTCACAAAACCATGTAAAAGGTTCCCAAAATGGCAGGGCCAAAACTTGTACTAACCAAAAAGATGTTACCAACCCTTCGTCAGACCTCATATGAGTCAGTGCCACAGCTGTCAACAATCTCGTTTACCACGTCTGAGGTCACAAGGT